TAATTCTTTGTTTTTTGTCGCGTATCGAATAGCCTTTTTTTGTATTTCGCGTATTACTGTGCCAGCCGTTGCAACGGTTCTACTTCTAGTAACCAGGGTTCGGCATTACACTGCAGCCATGCCGCAGTTTGAGGAATCAGTTTAGACTCGCCACAGTGATGACCTCATCTATACTAATCCGTAAGATTCATTCTTGTAAGAAAGTAGGGGCATAACGCCAAAGCTTAACGCCACATGTGACTAGGAACCGCTAGTTCCCATACATGATTGTACTACCTTCATGAGTTTGCACAAATAACCCATGGTTATTATTAGCCACACGCTATCCTGTACAAAACTTCCCTCTCTAACAAAATTGTATTTTTGAACTCAAAATGCCATAAATTAATCTCATAGCATCATTTAACCGATAACAGATAATTCGCAAACGGGGGATTTGTCATCCCCCGTCTGCGAAGCTAAGCCGGTTTGTTAACTCAACTTGCGGCTGGAAGCAAAAATGCATTAGTTCTTTCAAGTTTGGGCCAGCCTTGATTAGATTTCTCTGTTTTTAGGAGTTCTGATTTCAACAGAACTTTCTGGGATGTTTAGTCTCTGATGTTAGGAGTTTAGCATTTCATCACAGCCTGTTCACAGTGAACTGAACAGTTTGAATGGCATAGCGAACAATAAGTTCTGTAAAACATAAGACTAGGAGTAACAAGAATACGAAAACAAGATAACATGAACGTCTCTCGTCTCATCTCTTCTGTCATGACAAGTATAGCTATTAAAGACTTACGGTCCTATAATCGCAATTAGAATATACTGTTGCAGAGTGCTTCATGAGAAGTCATAGGGGATTTAAAGCTCAGTTAGCTCGTCAGCATAAGTATGTAGTTAGCCCGGCCAAAACGTGAAGCCTCGTTAACGCTGCCGCCTCCATATTTACCAGATGGGTGAAAGATGAGAGGCCATAAGGAAAGGTCACAGGGCCAATGGACATATCATAATATCAGCGACTCATGCCGGGTCTCGAAACTTGTAAGAAGAAGATGCTTGCTTGCGATTTGATTCCAGCTTTTATATTGATTTGATATATATTGAAACTCCCGTTTTTCAAAAAAGCAGAAGAGGCGTCTCGAAGCACCTGGAGCTTGGTGCCTCAACATGTGTAGCGCTTCAAGGCCACCATGAAAACTGGCGATGCTCACTTACAGAAATAATCAGCATTTGGAGCGCTATCCTAGATATTTTCTATAAGTGTATGAAATTCCTACGGATCTCCTTTCACTGAGGGTTCTCTCTCACTGAAGGATCCCCAGCCGGTTAGTGACGAGGCTACGTAGGGCGTCCCCAGGTGGCGGATAGGGGAATTAATCGCCGACCAAAAGTCACCGGTACTTGCCCAGAGACGCAGGTGGATTCAGGGGATGGACTCCTTGATTCTGTTGTGCAGGGTCGATATACCCTCTGTTCCTCGCTGGCGATCCACGCATACGTGTGTGGAGAGTCTGTGGGTGCAGTTGGTATCTTGCCCATCGACTCGGCCAAAAGCTTGCATTCGAGTGACGATCAAGTCACACTGGGAAGTATCTGGGAGGCGATTCGGGGCCGCCTCCAAAAACAAAGCCCCTTGTCCACTTCGGGATAGCCTGGCAAGCCCCCGGAGTCAATAGCCCCCACGTCAGAGCCTGGCAAGCTGCACGTTGGGTATCTTCACGCCAAAAACAGTAATAGAAATGGGCCTCATTCCCCTGAACCTGAGGGAGCCCCCAATACGGCAGCGTTGGGTAGGACCGCTCGGGAGAGGCTGCTAAAATCTCAGGGCCAAAACAGGCTGCCCAAAAGGAGAAGGACTAAGATGGCGATCTGTACTTTCAACGCACGGACGCTTGCATCGGAAGCGTGTATAGAAGACCTGATGATGCAAGCTAGGAAGATCAAGTACGACGTC